AAACGGATTGAGAAATTTTCTTTCTTAGAAGAAAATTTATAGAAGTTTTTCCTCAGAATATTACCCTGCCAAAACTGCGAGCCATGAAAAAAGGACATGCAGAACATTCTATGAGACTTTTGACGGCACCTCTGAATCAAACTGGTAAGATTATTTCGCTCGAAAATGAAAGCGGAGGTGCGAAATGAACTGATAGTGGAGAAAAAATGAAAAAGGAACTAACGGACACACCCACAAATATGTGAAACTTAGCACCTTTGCGCCTTTGCCTGCGAAATCGGAACAAACTGGATGAGTCCCCTCATCTTCCTCGCGCTAGGGGTTTACTCTACAAACCTAGTTCTAATCACGAATCACGACTGCTCTCTAGTCATTATGCAATCGCACAGGCCAAGCCGCCAGAATTGAGATCTTGGGATAAATTACTCTATTTTCGTGCTAAAATAAACCAACCAGGAATAGAAGAAAATGCAGAAGATTGTATGAGGACCTTATAAAATAGGGAATTCTCTAATAAAGCAGCAACCGTCCCTATCTCAATCACATTCAAAAATTTAAACAAATGAGCGACAGTTAAAATAAACTAACGCGTTGATAGGATCATAACTTCTGATCGGTTGCATTCCATACATATCCTCGCGACGCGGATAGATTTGAGCATGCTGGACAACTCGTTGTGTATCATGCAGCAAAAATGCAGAGAAGAGAATTAGACCGCCGTACATCACAATCGACATCAATCCTGAATACATTTATAAACACTTACACCACCAATTCCGCTCTCGTTTCATGTATACTTTGGCATCAAAACTGGGAAACAAGTCACTGTCCAAAGATTTCGATTGCTTTTGAGATTTTTTTAATCGATAAATTTTTCAAAAACTCTTTCCCAGCCCTTGCGATAAAAAAAAACTGCAACCAGGTTAAAACGTGGTAGCAGTTTATACCATAGCAATATCCCATGTACTTAATACATATCAATCCTGCGATTTTGCGATCGCAGAATCTCGTGGTCGACACGTACGCAAAGTATGAACACGGCCTTACAGTTTGACACCTAGACAAGAAATTTCAATAAAGTAATACAAACCAGCTCCGAGAGCACTTCCTGGATGGAAGAAGAAAGTTCCGATGTTAGCGACAAACACAACACCCAGTCCCATGGCAAGAGGACCCGACATCATTAAGAACTTCTCAGATGGTGCAGTGATAGCGGTTGCAGAAAGGCCTAAAAACTCGATATAATCGTCTTCAGCTTTCGACAAAAGCCCAAGCGAGCACGACCCATAACGTTGGTTTCTTAATTAGATGAAAACCCACCGCCAACAATACCAGCAGTGTACCATGCCGCCCTCATTAGCACTGGCCCACCCATGTAGACTAATGGCGCAAGTACAGCACCCATGGCACCTGAACAACAGACTAAAGCCGTTTGCTCAGGGGCAACGAGAAATGCAGAGCTCTGATGCTAACTGTCGACGAAAGCATACCACAAT